AGCAAATTAATTTGGCTGTCGAGGCAGCACTGTAGCAGTGTCTCCTACACATCTCCCTTTTCAGGATCCATTATTTCACAGGATCCAGTTTTAAACTGCTGTATCATGGAGAAGTCAATACAAGTCAGACGCAGTGTATTCTCATTTGCAGGTCATGTTTAAGAACTAAACCAACACTGGATAACTTCCTCTCCATCCCCCTATAACAAGCTCCCTCCTTCAACAGCCTAAGAGTCTTAGCTTCTTTATAACGGTGAACTACTACACTTGCCAGAAGGAAAGGTATCTTTTCATAGCCCACTTACTTATCACTTTTCAGCTCATGTCTTGATGCCATTATTACAAACTCTTATTTCAAAACAAAAGCTTATATTAAAAATAAAAAGATAAGAAGTCACCTACATTTCATGACTGAACTAGCAATTTGTGCACAGTGATGTGTATGTCTATTTGAAGACCGGTTCACATACCCAGTAGGGTAGGAAACGCCTATTACACATGCTGCTGCTGGAAGATTTCACCAGTGTCTTGACCTGACTGTCACTGTCTAGTGGCAGTAACTGAGATTTGAGACAACCGTAAAAGTGTAAGAAAGCCACAGTTGTGCATTGAGTTGAAAATAGAAATAACGAATCATTTGTCTCTGTGGATTGGCCTGTACAGAAGTACAATGCTCCTCTGTTCCTGTTCAATATACTCCTTCTTTGTATGTTTCATTTTCATTAAGGGCATTCAACTCTATATCTAAACTCTTGCATACAGAGTTCTGGTTGAGAAGATGGTTATATGAATCGTCTTTGGTTGCTAAAACAGAAAACAGATTACCTTTTCAACATTTTATAGATTACATTGATTTTGATCACTGTTTGTAATGAACCAGAATAGGTAGTTTGAGTCACTTGTTCGATACCTTTACAGATATTTGAAAATAGACCCGTGCAACTGCAGGACTACTCTCATGTAAAATGGTAACACAAGTGTCCATAGTTTTGATACAGGTAGTTTGTTTGTTTGTTTATTTATTTTTAGACAAAGGAACAGTTGTACAAGATCGCTCAGAGGGATGACAGAAAAGGGAAAATATGTAGTGTTTCCAACTGAGGAACTGCATGCCAAGTTTACTAAGATACTACACATCTGATGCATTGAATCATAGAATATAAGGGTTGGAAGGGACCCCAGAAGGTCATCTAGTCCAACCCCCTGCTCGAAGCAGGACCAATTCCCAGTTAAATCATCCCATGAATATGAACTATGCTGACAATGCCAAGATCATTACTGTAGGTCAAAGCTATAAATAGAAATACGCCTGGGGGAATTCTGCACCACTGCATGTGTGCATATTTCATGGGCCATGCATTTTTTTCCCCCAGAAAATAGCTTCTGCTGAAAAGTTGCTACAGTTCCTTTTGCCCACCAGAGGGCACTGGGGTGCTAGAACTCAGCCGCCGCTCCTGGCCAGTCCTAGCTAGGATAAGGAAGAGAAAGAGCCTGCATTGGCTTCTTCACAGCACCTGTCAGGCCAGGTCAGGAGACAGGGAATATGGGGAGACAGGCTGGGGGCCAGACAGGGGATCATAAGGGCTAGTGGGGGAGGATAGACCGGGGCAAGGGCTGAATGGGAGTGGAGCCACAGGGGTGAGGGAGATGCAGGGCCACATAGGCAGAGGGTGCAGAGCTACAAGGGGAAGGGAGATGACTGAGTGGGGGCACAGATACACATGAGGGGGTACAGGGACACATGGGGAGAGGGCTAGCTGTGGGGGCAGAGAGACATGGGATGGGGAGAGTGGGTGCCTGAGTGGGGGTGGAGGGACACGTGGACAGGAGCAGATGTGCCCTGACTGAATGGGAGAGGTTAGGAGTCAGCCAGGGTCTGCATGGGTGAAGCTCCCCAACTCCTTTACAATCGCTCCCCCTCAAAAGAAAAACAAACCCCTTCCTTACTTTTCCTACCCATATCCAACAACCCTCCAAGTTCACACCCACCAATTACTTCCCTCCCCCACAAGCCTTTGCATTGCTTCTGAGGGGATGGGAAATATGGTTCTGTTCTGTAGTTTAAATGAATTATTACTCAGTTCAGTATTATTATACCTTGTATGGAATCTGTCAAAACACATTTCCTGAATCTTTATCATCTATTTTGTTACAGACATATTTGCTGACATGTATTTTGATATAAATTACCAAAATAATTTAAACTGGTGTGATTATATTGTTATTTTGACAAATAAAATATGAAGAATTTTGCAGAATTTTAAAATAGTGTGCAGAATTTTTAATTTTTTGATGCAGAATTCCCCCCATAGTATAAAACCAACCCATCCTGTCACTTTGCCTTGCAGTCAGCTGGGTCAACAACACTCCTCAGCATCAGTTTTCTTTGGATTTGTCTACACTGTAGGCTTGCCATGTGTTTTTGCCCAAACCTCTTATCATCCACTCAAAGCCCTTAGCATCTAGGTGTATACTGAACATGTCGCATTTGGGGGTATGGATTAGAGCCCACCCAAAGTATCTTTATTTTTCTCAGGAGACAATTGGCTGACATGTCCCCAAAACAGATCTTTGCTATGATATATCATCCTAATTTTACAAAAAATTAACCTTATCCACAGAAGTTCATTTGGGTCCTGTTACTTAAAAAAAAAAAAAAAGGAGAAAAGGAAATCGAGTTTTGTTCTTTTTGTATAAAGGGCCTTTCCAAATTACAGTCAACCAACTTAGGGGATCCACATACAACACAGAACCCTACTTCCATTTCATACTCAGAGATAAAGATGGTGGGTGCTATAAAACAGAGGGGGAGCTAGCTCAGAAGCCAACTTGACAAGACAGATGTCAGGAAAGGACCAGGATCTGAGAGATAGTAAGAGAAACCTCTTCACACAAAAAGGATCCTACTACCAACAGGGAGCAAGGGAAGCTGAAGATGTGAATATATGCTAAAAAGTTAAAGCTTGTAGAAGGAAAAGCATTCCTGGGTTCAGATAGAGGAATGCCAAATGTTACACAGAAGCACAAAAACCACTAAAATGGGAAAAAGGTGAGAAGGGCTGTAGATGGTCTCATGTGCAAGGACAAATGATATAAGGCCACTATGAATTTAATTCTCCCATGCTGTAACTAATTTTGATATCACCTCCTACAATACATACTCCACAAGATGTGGAAAATTGACTGAGCAGTGGAATTATGTTTGTATGTATTCCTAGTTACACTTGCACAATATTTAGGTGATTATTACTATTCTGTTTAGGCTGCATATCTCAGACTACACTTGAAGAGATGGAGTGTGTAAAGCCACAATTACTACAAGCACCAGCATTCAAGGCAGGATGTAAGAGCCTGTCACACTTTAGACAAAACCATACAAAAAGATGAACATTGTTGCTGTATAGCGAACACTTCCCCACATGCTGATAAGATTGACGGCTTCCTCGCATACTATTCTTTCCTACAAATCTTGGCAGGAAGTCTTGATTAATCTCTTGCACAGCTCAATGTCAACATTTTGTCTTTTCACTGTAAGGCCCTGTCTACATTATAAATACTTCCATAATCAGAGACCTAGTTTCAGCACAACATGGTTTTTCACTGACTTACCTCCAGTGTAAATAGGGTAATAAGAGGAAGAACAGGTTAAGGTACGTTTTACTACAGATTTCACACTTGGGAGAAACGACACTTGTCACCTCGGGAAACAGAACAATACAGTTGTACAATGTAAACAAATCCTCATTGGCCTCTTAATGCTGTACTCAATGTCTCATGTTTTTGCCTGTAAATCAGAATCTTTAATTAAAGTTTTAAAAGATTTTTTAATAAGGTATTTGCAGTGGTACTAAGCAGGCTGATGTTTCCGTATACCAAACCCCAAGCCTTGTTTAACACTCTTTAACATTGGGCAGTGACATTAACACCTTTGACTCTTTGGGCCCATATATTCCACTGAAATTAATACAAACACCCCCTTCCCAGTCAATTGATAGAAAGAAAATAGATATTGAAAAGTTTGTCCTTGCCGCCTCTCTCCCACCCCCTCAAAAATTCTTCCATGACTCCAGAAGTCAGGGATAATAGATGAACTTTGAAGCATGCCCGAAGGTCAGTAGATTCTGCCCGTTTCAGACCATGGTTGAGGATTAAGTTCCAAAGTCAATTAAGTTCCAAAAGATCCTCACACAATTGCCAGCTATTCCTTCTCTTTTATACAAAGGGAGTTCCAGATCAAGCACCCCTGCTCACCGTGTCAGTATGACACTGCAGAACATCATTTATCCGATCTAATCAGATAATCTGGAGAATGGGAAAATGCAAGGCTGCAGCACCATCTAGCGGGCATGGAGAGATCACCCGCTTCTGGACCTGTGTGGGCAGGTTGTTCGGTTAATACACAGAGCCGCATAATGGAGGGTCAAATAAATGGGGTTCTACTGTTTTGGGAGAAAGGTAGTCTCCTAGTTCATCAGTCCCTGGCCATTTAGAGCTTTATGGTCAATATTTTAAATTCCATTTAGTGCAGATTAAGAGCACCAGTGTATGCTCACAGCAAAATACACTGCTTAATTAGGAGTCTGGTGAGATGAACACAAAGTTAGATGTCATGAGTGTACTGAAGATACTTGAAACTCAATAACCCTCTCAACAGACTCCTATATCTACTAAACAGGAGGAAAGATAAGAAGCAAGCTTGTGAGATCCTGCACAGGATGTCTACGGCAAGGAGCAGCAGTTCCCCCCAAAACCAGTCTCTGAGAACGCGCAGCAAAGGAGGTAGACGCACACTAACGAGCAGCCCTTCCACCCCAATTTCAGTCTGCAGGCAACTCAACACCTCAAATGCATGGATATCAAAGGCATATATTTCCTCTGATCATCTTTCTCGTAACTGTTATTTAAGTACTGCTATCAGCGAGCAGTGGCCATCTACACTACATCGCATAAAAAGATGCATTCCTAGTGATAGTTTTAAAATCAAAGAAATAAGCACATCCTTCATTTACAACCATTTAAGTTTATTTTACAACGTATTTCTTGGGACATTTTATGTTACTATTAACCAAATATCTGGCTTGTTTACAAATATAATGGCTGCCATTTAATGCAAACAATTAAAAAGTGTCTCTACATATTAAAATTTTACATCATGATTTTTATTTATTAAACTTAAGAACATCTTTTGATGGGAAGGAACTAAGCAAAAATATAACTGTTTTCCAGAAATCAATTTAGAATCTTCTTGAGAAGCCCAAATAGAAGTTTCAAAAGGTCACTTCCTTCACCCCCCATCGACACTCCTCTCTCACTGTAAAAAGGAAGAAATCAAATCCTTTTACAGAAGTCACAGCAAAAGTCCTCAGCCAAGTCAGTTTTTATTAAGGCTTCTTTACATATTATTGAATCCCATCATGCCTTTCATGTTTCCAGCAGCACCTTGTTGAAACTGTCTCATCATTGACTGCAATCCTGCCATCCCACCTAGAGAAGAGAGGTCAGTGAGTATTGGGTAGGTAACTAGCCTGGCAATTCAATTAGTAGTAACTCTTTTTGGTAAAGAAACCTCATACTTCACCACTAATGCACAGCACCATAGGTGTTCAGCTGTGCTTTACAAACACAATAGGCATAGCCCAGAAGAGCTCATTGTCTAGTTTGGATGGATATTCAATCCAAGTAGTATGTGAGTGGGAGTAGATGGTCAGAGAAAATCGGCAACTGAAGACTAGATTTAAGGTGGGTTTTAAAAGGAGAGATAGAGAAGGAACACTGAAATATGCTGTCAAATGCTCCCCCATAATTCCTTGCAAATTGCCTAGTTTATACTGCAAAAATGTAACACTTACCCATGTGATGAAGAACTCTTGGATCCATCATCTTTGCCATCTGTTGGTTCAGTTTTGCCATTTGAGATGGATTTACATTCTTTGACATGTCACCTCCTTAAATACAGAAAGTGACAAGAAAAATGCATTACTCAGGAAACTGATAATGTAAAAGCTTCCCCCTTCTAGTTGCTCGATTCAAACCAGCTTAAGTTAACCATGATCAAAAGTGACGCTGCCACCTGCTAAGTGGTTGATGATCTGTATGTGTTTGGCAGTACTTGTGGGAAAAACAAACAAACCAGCAGTCTGTATATTTGTAGCGGAGAGAGTTTTCTCCTCATCAACAGAAAATCTTTACTACCAGGCTGAAACTGTTCATGAACTCCACACTTAAATTCACAAGGCATGAGTGCTTTATCTCTCTGGCCAACTGCATGTTAACTGTCACATAACTGGCATAAGCAGCAATACAGCTAGTAAAGAATTTTATATAAAATGAAAGTGAACACATTTTAGATGTACATAAAGCTATTCAAAATATTTTCCAGGGGTTAGCAGAATGGCAATTCCAGGTGCACTCCTCTAAAATAATTTCCCTTTAAATTGAATCTACATGCAGCAGTCACAGCTGGGTTGAATTTATCATGTAGAGCAAAAATTAGCTTATAAACAGGACTTGGGAACTGTTTGGTAAATGATGTTTGACCAATAAAAGATTATAGGAAAAAAATCAAGATTTTTTTCCTTATTATTTGGGGACCGAAGGGAATCCTCATTAATCAGATTTCTCAATCTTGTCCACTTCCATTGAATGAACACTAACAGTACTTTGCCTTTATTAACTAACTTCAAATCAGAAATACCAATTTCTGATCTAGGCTCATTATGTAACTCAACTGTCCATAGAGTAACAGAAGGCGCCATAGCCCACTTTCATTCTGCAGCCACACTTATTGCCTTTTCTCCCTCAGACCTCAAACTACATTTTTAAACCCCCTCATCTTTTGCCCTATTCCCACTAGCGACCACCACCACAATGCCTTTCCTACAGCTGAGTAATTGCCAAATAGATGGATGTTTTACTTACCTTTGAAAAGACCCTTGATGCCTCCCATCTTTTTCACCATCTGTGCAAACTTTGTGTACTGTGTCAAAAGCTCCTGTACATCTCTGGTAGAAACACCCGAACCTCTTGCTACTCTTTGGATTCTTCCTGGTTGTTTACTGAAAACCTTTGCACCATCTGTACTATCTAGTTCTGCGATTAAAAACAATGCAAAATATTTATACTTAATCGTATGTGAACTTATTAACATTATCTGGATGTAATACAGGTTTTAATGAGAACTCAGTCACTAAGAATTGTTTTCATTTTTAAAGTGTGGTTCTACCCTGAAAATTGACTGTAAGTGGTAGTGGACTTCCATATACATTGTATCTCAATGATTTCTATAATTTTTCCAACTACTAGATACTCAAGCTGGATTTCCTTTATTCTTGTGCATCGCCATTAGCAACAGATGTTCTGCATAACAAATTATGCCCCTAACTACATGTGTGCAATCCCACTGAAGACTACTGCAGTTTGCACAGGTATAACTGAGGGCATAATCTGCCAGTTAAGCTTCTATGACTAATGTTGATGTGCAAGATGAAAACAAACCAACCTGAGTGCCAGAGACCAGGGTGAGCTGGTGGGTCTGACAGGTGGAAAACAATCTTTTTACTTGCAAACAGATAAAGTTTTATACGGATATTAGATAATAAATATGCAACCTCACACAGACATTTTTGCAGGCAATTCTACCCTGACAATGACTTTAAGGAAGTGATTGTCAGTCATTAGAGATAATGAGTGTATGGACTGTGTCTACTCCAGCTGCAAAAGTATGCTTAGAAATCTCCTCTAGGTAATAAAATATCCCTTCCAAATAATGTACTTTGGATCAAGCAGTATCTGGATCCTCTACTCAGTCTTATTTTTGAAAGCCTATATGTTATGTGCACTTCAATTCTGTTGTGGGTTTTCCAATTGTTTCATTGGATTGTTTCCAATTGTTTCAGTTATGTATGGATATTTATACGAACAACATGATAAATTAGAAAAGGAGTACTTGTGGCATCTTAGAGACTAAAATATATTTGAGCATAAGCTTTCATGAGCTACAGCTCACTTCATCGGATGCATGCAGTGGAAAATACAGTGGGGAGATTTTATATATACAGAGAACATGAAACAATGGGTGTTACCATACACACTGTAACGAGAGTGATCAGGTAAGTAATAAATGCTCAAATAAATTTGTTAGTCTCTATGATGCCACAAGTACTCCTTTTCTTTTTGTGGATACAGACTAACACGGCTGATACTCTGAAACCTGTCATGATAAATTAGTACTCTCCTGTTTCTTCCCACCCTCCCCCATACTTGTTTCCCTGACTTGTTCCAATAAAATAATGAACACAGCTATGAATTATTTAAGTAACTGTTCTTAACTTTCTATTACTGGAACTTGTTTTACCTTGATCATTCATACTGTCCATTATAGTCATCAATTTCTTTAGCCTTGCCATTGATTCCTGTTCATTGCCTTTACTCATAAAATCTGTTCCAAAACCAGGGATCATACCCTATAAAATAGTACAGTTAAAAGAGTTAATTGTGTCCGTTTTGCAAATTACAAGAGACTACTGTTTGAGTGACCTGTGAAATTGATAGCGCTATATATTTTAAATATTTTATTCAGCAAATTTGAACATGTTCAAATGCAGAAAAAGGCAAGTTATTCATGTTTACTAGAAGCCATTAAAATTATCTGGTAGCATTTCAGGCAGCTATTCAATGGGAAGAATTCCTTAAAATTCAAAAAAGAGTTCACTCATTTTCAATTTTTGTAGAAAGTGCTGGAGAAGTTTGGATAGAAAATTTTCAGGATAACTAACCAAGATCTGACTGAAGGGTCCCATTTTCATGATGTTTTGGAATTGTTCATACATATCTCTCAATGTAAACTGACCTGAAGCACAACAGAAATGGAAGGTTAGTGAAGATGATCACACGATTACATTTTTATGTAGACTGATCCTGCCCACCCATCTCTGATTACACTTTATGACGAGAACAGACAGAACCAAATAGTGTCAGATGCAAAGATACTTCTTCTGCATATTCTTCTATTATTTGGCTGTATCTCACTTTGCATAACACATTTAAGAACCTTAGGTAAATTGCAATTGTGTTGAGAAAGCATGCAAATAACGCTATGTCAGAGGAGCAATCCATTTACTTTCACATTTCAACTGTTCATGAGAAGTCTGGATTTTTTTTTTTTTTTTACCTGTATGATTTAAATTTATATTTCTCTTTCAATTACTTAGTTTACCATGACAAGGAAAAAAAAGTTGAATAGTTACTTCAAATAAATTTTCTACAAACTGAAGATTACTCAAAAGGTTAGCTCTGTTACATAATTTTTTTTGGGGGGGAGGACTAGCTTACCATGTTTCAGCTTCTCTATGAGTGCCTCGTTATCATCCAACTTTAATTCGTTTACTTTATCTATCAATCCTTCAATATCACCCATACCTGGAAAACAGAAAGCCTTCTTCAAAATTTGTGAGGAAAATTATGCTCCAATTTTTTTCTGTGACAGTGACATTTTTGAGAACACTTGTGTAGTCTGTAGTTATAAATAGTACATACCAAGGAGCTTGCTGATGAAAGGCTGTGTTTTGAATGGTTCAAAGTCATCTATGTGCTCTCCAGTACCAATAAAAATGATAGGACTTTTTGTGGCAGCAACTCTGCAATGAAGTATAAGTAATAAGACTGTGTGTCTCTAAACAAAAAATCAATATGACCCAAATTCTGCTCCATTATATTAAAATTAATGAATGTAATGACACTAGTGAGATTTTATTTGCCTGCAATATTCTAGTATCTCCTCAAACTACCAGTGCAAAAGGCTTCACTATACAGGATTTGAAACAGCTACTTGCCAGTAGCAATTGGGAATCATTCCCTAATAAGCTCAGAGATTTAAGTCATCATTTTAGGCTTGTAATATTTAAAAAAAAAGTTACTATTCCCTATGATTATAAATAGAACCTTCAAAATATGAACAAACTTTAAATAGATGTATTCCTGAATCTTCAGACAGACTCAGTGCCTGTACCACTGCTGATAGCTTTAACAAGCACCACTAATGGGAAATTAAGATGGTCAGTTTCACTGTTCACATTCAGAACTTTGTGGGCACCTAAAACTTAACCCTGTCCATTTCTTCCTGCTGCTGGGAAGCCAACAGAGGCAAGTACCTAAGTTATTCATGGAGGAGCAGCCAACAAAATGGAGAATCGTGGAGACCTCTCTTTTTCTTCCATATCTTAAAGCAGCCAGGAGGCTTCCAAATGGGGAGACAGATAAAGCTTCTCCCTTCCAGAAAGTAGAGGAAGGTGGGAGCTTCAAGGTGGTCAGACACCTACTAGCAAGAGATGTGAAAGGCAAAACTCTAGAGCAGGGACCACTCTGCTAGAAATTCTGCACTCTGAATTCCCAGCAGCTGGAGAGGTGGGGTGTAAGGAAAAAGAAGGCACCTGGTCATCTTATTAGTATGGCCCAGGACCTGCAAGGTGCAGCTCTCACCTTCAGTGTCTATTTCCGGCTAGTATGCTTCGTCTTCTGCCAACTTTATTTTTACTGACAGAACAGAATATTTATAGGCATTTAAGCATCTTAACTTTTCAGTTCAGTCAGACACTGACTTAAAGAGCTGGCATCAAAAACAGACCAGATTGGTCTGCCAATATTTTCCATGGTGTCTATAACCAACCTAATTTCTAACCATTATTTCCACAAGTGTGTTTGTCATGTCTGCCTGTATAAAGACAGATGCTTAGATATCATATTTCTGATGTGTTCTAATAACTTTAGGACTGGCTTCAGTTTCAGGATGCTGTGCTGCCTGGCTTTCGACAGAAGCCCAGAATCAAAGATAATGTAACTGAGGAATTTATAAGTGGGTTCTTTGACCATTTTCTGGACTTTTAGCATTCAGAGATTTGACTTGCATTCCACTGATATGAGTCTCATCCAGCATTGCCTCACAAAAATCTGAAGTTTCAGTTTTATCTTTTTTGGGTATGTCATCTTAGACTCTTAATGGGAAGCAATCTTTTCACCTGAACCATGTCTGTAAGGCATCTTAATTTTTTTAAGGGTATGAAGACAAACTCACAGTAACTTAACACCCCTCTCAAGTGTACAGAGAGACTAGTGATACTATCCTGAGAAAACAAGTTGACGCTTACAGAAAGATGTATAATATCAAAAAGTGCCACAGTCTGATACTGAAAGCACCCATAACTCCCCCTGAAGTCAGGATCAAGCCATAAGTGGTTTGCATCAAGGCCAGTGTTACTCACTGAGCTAAGAATCAGCACACCTAATTGCATGTGACAAAAACAACAAGAGAACTTTAACAACTCTTCTGGTAGTTTAGACATAACATGCAGCTACAAAAGTACTGAAACCCCATTACCACACAATACTTACGCACTGAGAGCGCCACCTCCTTTTGCATGGCCATCAAGTTTTGTCACAATAACAGAGGCTACATCTACTTTATCTTTGAAAGCCTTCGCCTGAGCTTCACAAGCTTGACCAATGGAGGCATCCATAACGTAAACAATGTTATCTGGTTGCTGGAAAAATTAACATGAGTTATTTCCGGGTCTTAACTCTGTATCTATGTATTATGTTCTGTAGTAGACTCTTTTAAGTACACTGAAATTTTTAAAGAAATGGTACAAATCTAGAAAATATTTCAAGAGTGAATCAAGACTGAACAATAAGCAAGAAATACAGCAACTTGAAAATACATTTTTTCCACTTCATTCCCCGAAGAAAATTCAGGAAAACTATGGATATTTACTTCCAAAGATGGCCTACTAGCTATAATAATGGATTTTTTCACAAGTTATAATCCTCTACTTAATATGGACTATTAAAATATTTGTAAACATTATTGTTTATGCCGAGCAATGTTAAGCCAATATTTGTCCATGCTGTCCTCCTACACTCCACTTATTAAGTATTAGGCTTACTAATAAAAGATGCCAAAGAATATCTTCCATTTGATCCCAAGTCTGGTGACCAAGCTGAGGCTGTCAGTTTTGTTACTTCATGAAGACTGTTCCTTAATCCACGTGAGAGCGTAAATTCATTTGTTCATCAGCATGACCTATGATCACCTCATCTATCTCACATAAATCAGACATGTGAAGAAGTGGCAGAAGAAACCCAGGCACATTTGCTAGAATTTCTGTAATGTTGTAAATACACATCAGTCTTTTTTCTTTTAATCTGTGTATGCAAAGATCACCAAGGAAAAGAGCATATTGTTTGAAGTGATAACGTCCCTTGATATATGCAAGCCAACTTTAATTCAATGACTAATTATATAAATGAGCAGAAGAACAGTTTAAAATTAAGAAGTTTTACTGAACTTTCACCAACTGAAGGCTAGTAAGTTTCAGACTTCATTTATCCTTGCTGTTACAGTGGTCAGAACTGTCCCCATATTTCAGAAACTCCTGACATGTTCTATAATAGACAGCATCTATGTAAAACATTTGGATAGTGATGTTGTATTCAAATGACTATAAAAACAAAAGACAATTGAGAACCATTTTTACATTTTCAGTAGTTACTCACTATAGCATTGGCAACTTGTAACATTTCTTCAAACAAAGAGTCTTCCTGTTTGTGACGCCCACTTGTATCAACAATGATTATCTCAAAGTTTTCATTTTTAAATTTCTCAACACCTTCTGAGGCAATAATCACAGGATCCATTTCTGTGTAACTGTTCAAAAGGTAAAGACATGTCTAAATTACATGAAATAACTTTGTGTCCATGCACCCCCATCCCAAGAATCTATTTTTAGGAAACTAACTTTTAATTAACTCATATATATGCAATCAAGTAACTTCAAATCCATCCCAAATTTCTAGATGTAGACATTCTTAGTTAGAGAGTACTGGTTGTTTATATGTTAGAGCATCTGGAGATTTTATATCTAACCTCTTTCCTTTGGCATCTCTTGCATTGAAAAGCATAATTTATACACTGTGCCTTATCTCAGCTCTACGGATATAGAGCTGAAGCAGGTTTAAAATCTATATTCTTCCATCAGTGTGCACACAGTAGCAAGATAGGAAAGCACTGAGAACTCATTCAAAGCATGATTCAGAAGAATGATCCACTTTTTTTGCTCTACAGAATTGCCATCTTATTGTGAGCCTCCTATCACTGTTTATATTTGGGGATAGAGATTAAGTGCTTTCTAACGTATCTGAAGATCAAAAAGGATGTATGCATGTCTCCCTGAAGACCTGAATGTGTCAGTAGCTTACTCTTTTATAATGGTTCTGTTCTTGTTAAAATCTGTTTGACAGCACACTGATCCCCTATATATCTTTTCCAAATGTGTAACAATAGAATGAGTTGAACTGTTCCCAAAACCAAAGGTGCGTACCTCCCATAAAATGGAATTCTTGCTTTTGTTGCATTCTGTTTTAGCTGGTCAAAAGCACCTGTAAAATAGAAATATTGTCAGTGGACCATCTGCAATGTATAAGTGTGCAAAAAATGGAACAAACCTATTTAAAGTCACTCATAATACCTGCTCTGTATGTGTCTGCACATATCAAACATGTCTTCCAACCTTTCCTCTGGTAATAGTAGGCTAACTGTTAAAAGGAAATACAAAATGTGATTACAGTACCAAGCATTTTAGTGATTTAGGTGATGAAAAATCCTTTTCTTAAAAATAGAAAGTTAGATTTATAAAAAAGCTAAATAAGTCACTGAAGTCCTGTACTGGTATTTTCTAAACGACAGGAGTCAAGACACTTTTCCTGGACCACGCTGCCTGCAACCAGAGACCTTTGGTCATGTATTAGCGACAGTAAAAATGTAAGGCATTATCAGAGGTTATTGCCTTTATTTAGTATTTAAAGCAAAACTTTTCTACCCTGTGACTCATTGGCTTTGCCTTATCATGTACTAGGCAGGTTTGGAATGGGACATGTAATTTTTATTTCCTGAGCTAGTGATGGTCAAGCAATATGTAAAAGTACATGTGGAGAATGGAAAGGTGAACAACCAATGTAATATCCTGCAGACTGGTTGCTTGGTCCTGAACCTTTCAACTGATAACAGAACAGCTTTTGAAGCGAGCCCCATTGCTTTAAATACTTGTCTTTGTTAAATGAAAGCCCTCATTATATACATTCATCCCACTCTACCCCATTAACATTCAGATGTGACAGTAGTCAATTATTTTTCATGTATCCATTTCAGAAAAATATATCTCCTCCACTCCATAAACACTTTAATAAGAGCTGGAACAATTTGCCCCTTACTGTAACACTGACACTATAAACTGCAACAGTGCAAAGCAAATGTCAGAGAACATTAGGGTGACTCAATTAGAGAAAGAAAACACTTCCACTATGCAGTCCCTCTGTCAGAACCTGAATTACCTAACTAGATCAGACCACTGGTCTATCTAGTCTAGTACCCCATCTCCAACAGTAGCCAATACCCCAATGATTCAGAAGAAGGTACAACCACCACCACTCAGTGAACAATTATGGAATAACCTGCCCATGCCATGAGGGAGGGGGATTTCTTTCCAAATCTCATCAGCTGGTGGCTGGTTTCAACTTTCATTTATCAAGGTTTCTCTTCTCTCTTTAATCCCATCAAATATAAATTAATGTTCTTATCATTTCTTTTAAATTATGAATTGTGTAGAAAAAACTTTCTGCAGAGATTGTATCTCTGCTGCAGTAAGTCTCTTATATAAATAGGAATTTTGTATTTGTATAATATTTGTATTAAATAGGAATTTTGTAAATAAATTTTGTATTCAGCAAACTATATTAATAACCATGGAAGTACACAAGCCAACAGTAACATCTAACAGAAATCTGTGTTTCACACAGTTTAATTTTTACTATTCTCTCTATTAAGGGCTTGTCTACATTACCTGCAGGATCGATGGGCAGTGATCGATCCCCCAGGGGTCGATTTATCGCATCTAGTCTAGACGTGATAAATCGACCGCTGAGCGCTCTCCCGTCGACTCCGGTACTCCATTGGAGCGAGAGGCGCAGGCGGAGTCGACGGGAGAGCGCTCAGCGGTCGACTCACCGCAGTGAAGACACCGCGGTGAGTAGATCTAAGTATGTCAACTTCAGCGATGTTATTCACATAGCTAAAGTTGCCTAACTTAGATCGATTCACACACACCCCGCTGCAGTGTAGATCAGGCCTAAATATTGTAAAAGGATTCAGTATAATTTACCTTTGAACATGTTGTGGTTTTACCACTTCCCTGCAGCCCAACAAACATTATAATGTTCTGTTTTCCTTTAGTTGGTGTCCAGGCTTTGACTCCAGGATCTACAAGCTGTAAGACAAAGCATAATAATAAATGAAAGAAAGTTAAACGTCAGAAGTGTGGAATTGTTAGAGGACATACTACGCTCCTACCTTCACCCAAGTCCCTATGCAGAGGGGTGGCTTGACTTACATACCCCAACTGTGTGTCTGAACTTGGTCTTTTAAAAGGCTAACTGATTGAGCACTGCTATTAATTACACATTTCACAGGTCTAAGTCAAGGTAGATTTGGCTAGTCCTTAAATACATACACGCAAAATTTCCTTGAGTTCAGATTTTAAATTTGTTTGGTTTAGTTTGCTTAATTTGAAACAAAATATTTAAACAATTTTAATTCTGATTTTTAGGCATGTGGTGTCACTGACAACCTGGCCAACAGGTGGCTGAAGGACTGGCTAGAACACCACAAATGTCATGTTGTGATGGGCATGCTCTCTGAGACGGCTGATAGACCAATCGATCAAGGTGAATTCTGATTTCTGTTATGGACTAAAGAAAGGATAGACAAGACTAATTTGACTTTATAACCCTATTCACAGCTGATAGCAGAAACCTGTCAGTGCTTGAACAATCCACCTACCCATGGCAAGTAGGAAGCTTACCAACAGAACCACAACCAATTTGTGCAGAATTTAAGCTTTTTAATAAGAGTTAGAAACATAACTTTTATGGCTCCAGTTTCTATCTTATAAGCAAGAGAAGAAAATTAACTGATGCAGTGCCCTCTTCCTGAGTCTGCAGACGTTCACAGCTTTGCTAATGTGCTCCAAAGTGAAAACAAGACACAAACATCAATTTTCGCTGCTTCTACTCAAAGCCCTCTTGGGAGATGTGAAACTGAAAGGAATCTGGCTAATTTCACTTTGATGCTTCTGGCTGGGAAAAGCTGAGTAACTGTGCAAACAGGCACTGAAGTTATTAAACGACGGCAACAACTCACAAATGGAGACCAAAAGGGGTAAGACTACTAGCGATACCCAATATGCAGCAGCCAAGAGGTTGTGGGAGGAAGGTACCCAGAGGAAGAACGCTCCTTACCCCTGCAGCCTTGGGGAGGATTTGTATACTTCAGATTTGTCAGATGTCTTCTAGATGGAACCCAGGCCCAGCCCCATGCCCTCAAGCAGCATCCCAGGACACCACAACAATAAGGGAGAAATCATTGCACCCTTTTCTTTCCCAGAAGCAGAGGTGTGTTGGTTTCTGATGTAGGTGTTCTTCACAAACAATACCTCTATCCCTCTCTTCCCTATCACTTGGTCTTTGGCTAGTAACATTAGGTTGTTAAGAGTCTTGTAAAAATATCAAACCCTACGTAAAAGTGGATGGAGGAAGGGAATATGTGCAAATGGGAACAAAAAACATGCTAGGGGAGTAAACAAGAAAGAATGATGGGATAAGTTAGAAAAGTTGAGAAAAAAATGGAGGGAAAAAAAGGAGGAGGAGAAGCAGAAAACAGTAGAGAACTGGAAGAAACTTTGAAGTCAGCAAGAATAATATAAAAAGTGATCTAGTGAGGGGAAAAAGAAAGAAGTGGAGTGAAGCCAGGAAGGGAGAAAATGTCTAAGGCCAGATCAACACTATAAACAACTTACCATCGGTATAACTACATCGTTACATGGGTGAGAAAAATCCACACACATAAGCAATGCAATTATGCCAACCTAACCCCTGTATAGAAAGTGCTATGCCAACAGGAGGGCTTCTCCAATCGACATAATCCACCTATGTGAGAAGCCCTCCTGTTGGTGTAGTAACATCTTCATTGAAGTGCTACAGCACTTCAGCGCAGAGTTTTAAGTGTAGACCTACCCTAAGAAAGCAAGAGAAATTTAGTTGATTACATTAAAAAATTTTATTAGACAGACACATTGTAACATACGGTCAATTAAAGAATAAAAACAATACACAACTGCTTTATTCCTTTAAATTGCTGCGTGGCTTGGTTGGGGGGCATTGCAGAACAGCTCTTTTCCACTTGCTCATAGTCTTATTTCTCAGCCTTGTAGATGTTGGACAAATTTTTCAAGCTCCAGTTACAATCAGAAATAGCTTGTGTGAGCACTAGAGTTTGAAAGGACTCCAGTTACCTAATCCTACATTCTTTCACAATTCAACGGAAACAATTTCATACAGAAACCATTTTTCTAATCTCTCTAGTTACTAAGACTTTTTTCCCCGTTGTTCAATCACAATTCAAAAAAAATAATGTTATAGATTTTTTATTTTTAATAACAATGTTAAACATCTTTGGATTTAATGTCCTGGCACAGGTAAATGCGATGTATCCAAACAGGAACAATGTTTACCAACACAAATCTATTTTAATACATAACAGTAGCTCAGATTTTGTAACTGTGAGATGTTTGTACAGTATGTTCATACCTGAACTGTTATTTGGACTGGATGGTTATTTACACAAAAAGAGAGATAAAAATCCAAAATAAAAATATGCAAATCTCATACAGTTTTACCTTGACAAGTTCTTTAAAGACAGCATGCTGAATCATTTTCCTTTTGTTAAGACCAGATGCCATCTCTTCAAGATCAATAGCAGACCTAAGTTTTTAAAAGTTGTTAAAATAAAATCAAAACAAGATAAGGAATGTCAGTATAGTTTAAGCAAACCTTGAGAAGAGGATCATAAGTATGTCTTAGTTTATATGAACAGACAAAAATGCCCTACATTCTCTAAGTGTCTTGAACTGTCCATATTTTCTTAAACATAAAGAAACGTACAGTAGAAACATTATCCTCATATTTAGGGTAGATTACCAGCTTTCCAGTATACTTGACTATTTTAGAGAGCAACTCAAGTAAAGTACACTAAAAGTTAAACATATTTGAACAGTACTGTCACATGTAAACAGACCTTTGTATTTCATTCTGTATTTATATCAAATACAGAATGAAACAGGCAAACCTTAAGAGGCATCAGTATGGTTACTATTAAAAGGTATGATGTATGGCCAACTAATTAAACTCTGAAGGAGTTTCACTGCACTAAAATGTCTAATTTGACCTCATTACTTCTCATGGAAACTTTATGAAATATTAAATTTGATATAAAAACAGATAGCATATATAAAATCTATTTTCTTCTTTAGAAAAACATCATCATCAACTAGTTAACTTGAGGAAAGAGGTCTTAGGTAAAACTGGATTGACACTGACATTTAAATGCTCAGACTAAATTTCTCTAGTGAAGGAGAAGTGGAATGATGGGGGAAAATAATTAAATGAAAATCACGTATTTTTGTTCCTTTAAAAAGGCATCATGTAAGTTACTCTACACATCTCACTCGTCTGCAACCTCCATACAAACATAATAGAACTAGTCAATTTAATGTATTTTGATTATTTGACTTACTTGACATTTTCTCTCAGCTGTTTCACTAATTTAATGTTAACATCAGCTTCCAGTAGTGCCGTACATACTTCTTTTAACATAGCATTTAAAACCTTTGGGAGGATTTAAAAAAAAAAAAAAAGGGCATTTAAAATTTACGATTGTACAGAAATCAAGTTTGTTCATATCTGTATCATGAAAACAATGGCATTTTTGTTTTAGTGTTCGGTAAACATAAAATAATTAATACTTAAAGCAATCCTTGAATCTGATGTAAACCACAGACAGAATGGATAGTCCTTGAAGTGGAAGTTGATGATTTTAGAGGTGTCTTACTGGAACACACTGATTTATAAATTAAAAATATTTGATTCAATTGTGTAAACACAGGAATAAAACAAAAGTACTACAGTAGAACCCCAGAACTACGAACATCAGAATTATGATCTGACCGGTCAACCTCACACCTCATTTAGAATTGGAAGTATGCAATTAGCAGAGACCAAAAACAAAAAAACCCACAAATATGGTACAGTGTTGTGTTAAACAAACTACTAAAAAAAAAAAAATGGAAAGTTTGACATCTTTTTTTCAAGTAAGGAACCTTTCTGTGCTTGTTTCATTTAAATTAAGATGATTAAAATCAGCATTTTCCTTCTCCATAGTAAAGTTTCAATGCTATATTAAGTTAATGTTCAGTTGTAAACTTCTGAAAGCACAACCATAAGGTTTTGTTCAGAGTTATGAACATTTCAAAGTTACAAAAAACCTCCATTCCCGAAGTGTTCGTAATGGAGGTTCTACTGTAGTTCTATGAAAAAAAATATTCAGGTATGAAAAGCACAGCTGATCAGTTTATATCATCATGCAACTTTTACTCTACTATATTAAAAGAATGTGTTCCTTCCCCCTCACCAGCGAAATTACCATAATTTCATAACAAGAGATAATTCAGCCTCATGTAAAGGTAAACTCAAGTTAATTGGAAGAATTGTACTGTAAAAGTAATTATAGATGTGCATAAAATAGTTATGACAAACAGCAGATGAAATGAGATTGACAAGAACAGTTTGTATCCAGTCACAGACAAAAGTGAAGAACAAACATCAAACATCCATAAATAAAAGCATTCCCTAGAACCAAAATAAGCACATTTCATTAAGAAGGTACACCATGATTCACACACGGGGGTTGGACTAGATGACCTCCTGAGGTCCCTTCCAACTCTGATATTCTATGATTCTATGATTCACTTTGGCCAGTGTTTTCAAACCAGGGTGGCTAGAGTTCAGAAGGTGGTTAAATTTTAAGGAGTTGGTGCATTTAAAATTTTTACCACTAATCCATACTCTACACAGCTTTCTCAGGGGCCTGATTTTCTGAGACACTGAACTCTTGTAGTTCTCACTGGAGAAAACAGGAGATATGGATGCTCGCCCCTCTGGAAAAAACAGGTTACCTATTTAACTGCCTAACTTAAGCACCCAGGTTTGAGAATTTTGTCTGAGGTATTATACATCTTCAGACAGATACAAGCTTGGGATAAGATGAAAAGTTTATGGTCTTAATCAAATCTGATAATTTGTTATATAAAGAAAACAACACAACACATGATAAAATTTAGGATAATTGGCAAACTATTCATAAAGAGTAAGGCCAGAAGGGATCATTGTGATTATGTAACTGGATTTCCGCAAAACACCAGCCACAGAATTCTCTGGATTAATTCCTGCTTTAAGTCCAATAGCTGTGGTTAAACCAAACCCTATTTTAGAAAAACATCCAATCTTGATTTACAGTGATATAAATCCACCACAACTTTGGTAAATTGTTCCAATGGTTAGTGAGGCCTTACTTCCAGTCTGAATTTATCTAGCTTCAAATTCCAGCCACTAGATCTTGTTATAACTAGACAGAAACCTCCTAGATTGAAGACCCTTCTATCACCAAATTTCTATTCCCCATGCAGATATTTATGTATCCTTTACCTTCTCTTTGTTAAGCCAGATTGACTGAGCTGCTTGAGTCTCTAAGGCATGTTTTGAATCATTCTCATGGCTCTTCTCTGAGCCCTCTCCAATTGATCCTTAAGCGTAGCCACCAGAACTGCATATTCAATATTCACAGTAGCAGTCGCACCAGTGCCAAGTACAGAGGTAATGAAACCTCTATTCTAACTTGATATTCCCCTCTTTACACATGTAAGGATCACATTAGCTCTTTTGGATGCAGCTTTGCACAGAGGGCACATATTCAGTTGTTTATCCACCATAACACGAAATCTTTTTCAGAGTCACTGTTTCCAGTCCCTGCAATAGTGTGTCCAGTTCTGGAGTTCCCCCATCCTGTATCTATGGCGTACATTCTTTGTTCCTTGATGTATAACCTTACATTTGGCCATACTGAGACACATATTGTTTGCTTGTGCCCAGCTTACCAAGATATAGATTTCTCTGTATGAGTGAGCTGTCCTCTTCATTATTTACCACTCCTCCAATCTTTGGGTCATTTGCAAACTTTATCACTGATGGTTTTATTTTTTTCAGATCATTGATAAAAATGTTAAATAGCATAGCACCAAGAAACGCTCAGTAGGGAATGCCACTACAAACACATCTGCTCAATAGCTACTTTCTGTTTACAATTACATTTTGAGTCCTGTTAGCCAGGTTTTAATCTACTTAATGTGTGCCACACTGATTATGTATCATTCTAGTTTCTTAATCAAAACATTGTGCAGTACCAAATCAAACACCTACAGAAATTAACCATATTACATCAATGCTATTATCAAAAGATATTTAGTTTGACAAGATCTATTTTCCATAAAACCATGTTGTTTGGATTGGCATTAGTTACCCTACTTTAATTCTTTATCAACTGAGTCCTGTATCAGCCATTTAGGAAGAAGAAAAAAAAAGCCACAGGATTCCTGTCAAACTGAGAAGCCTATAGTTACCATCATCATCCCATTTACCCTTTAAGTATTGACAACAACGTTAGCTTTTTTCCAGTCCTTTGGAACTTCTCCAGTGTTCCAAAACTCATTGAAAAAAATATAACGTTCCAGAGAGTTCTTTGAACAGCTCTTTAATTCTCCTGTAAATTATCCAAGCCTGCTGATTAAAAATCATCTGTCTTTATTGGCTACTGTTTAACATCCTCTTTAGTTACTGATTGAATTATAAGTATTTCATCATATAATATGAATACATCATCTTGCTTCTTCCCCTGTAGTATGATTTCCCTCACCCTGTAGGTGAGATAATGAAATATACCGACCCCAGGAAGGCAGAGGTGATATGTACACATACAGGTGTCCTCTAGAGGAAAAGTCCTGTTTAAAGGTCACTCCGTTAAAATATTTCATTATAATTGTATATGTAAAATCAGGAACAAGAACAAAAACCTCACACCCTCTAGTTGGAGAATAAAGGCGGAAAAAGGAAATCCTGCCGACTATGCCATGTAAGAGGAAAATTCACTACGGTGAATTTGCTGGGAAGCCCTGATAAGGGCCTTGCCCCTACCCTCAGTCAGGTGGAATGAGCCTGAGAGGTAGCTCACAATTAAATTTGGTTCGTTATCACTATTCACCTATCACCAAGAAGAGGACCCAAGTTTGTTCGTTGAAAATTAAAATGAATATTTATTTATAGGGAATTCTTCATTACAAAGGTATGCGGAGAAATTATTGATACAATTCTACGGCAAATTTTATGTAATATTTTATGTATTATAATATTTGTTGCAACGCAGAAAAAGGAATAGGTTAACCACAACTCAAGCACTCAAGACTTCTATTATTCTCTTATTTGCATGCTATTTTATACCTAGGATTAATTGTTTTTCTATTTCTTTAAAGCTGTTTTTTCTGGTTTGCTTACCTAATCGCGTCACCTCGTCCGAGACAGTCCGACTAAGGTGACCTTCACTCCGAACGAGACCTGGCCAGGGCCTCAGAGCCGGTTGGCACGTCGATTCTTTCGGGAGATTGATTGGTAGGGGAGACAGAGCAAGGAGGCTCCCTTAGGAGACCCTTGTTAGTTCTGTCACACTGCTTAGCTGTTTTCAGCTGACATTTAAAGGTCTGGGCCCAGCTTTACTTTCAATTCGGAGTTATCAAGTGGCCAAATTAGAATATTGTTTGCTTTTACTAATTTATGCAGTTTCCTACATTGCTATGACTATTTGACTTGAGTGCATATGTTGCAGTCAGAGCCACTTGCCTTTTCTTGCAGCATATATTAACCTAGCATATCTTAAAACACTTCAAACACATTTAACTTCATTGCATATATTAAAGATTTAAACATATTCACTCCTACTTCCTTTTAATGATTTGCATACAATATGGTTTTGTATTTTAGCTGATACATACATTAAGCTTGCTCCTACTTCAATTAACCATAAAAACACATACATCTTACTCCTACGTATATTACTTTATGCATAATACATCATAACTTGCTATTGATTCTATTGTGTGAGGCCTATTGCTTTCTAATGCATTTATTTCAAGCTTCTCAAATATAGAACAGAAATATTTATTGAACATTTCTGTCTCTTCTGCATTATTGACAATTCTATCATTTTCATCTAGTAATGAACCAATACCATTGTTAGGATTCCTTTTGTACCTAATATAATTAAACTCCTTATTGTCCTTAATTCTGCTGGCCATAGATATCTGTCTGTGTCCTTTCTGCTTCCTACATCAGTTTTCTGCTATTCACAGCTTCTAATTCATATTCATTGCTATCAACTTCCGCTTATTTCCATTTGTTTTATTTAACTTTCACTTCCCTTCTAAGCCAGGATTGTTTTTTAATCATTGTCGCCTTCTCTCTCTCTCAAAATTATGGGCTTGTGGCTTTTTTGGGCATCTAACAAAATGCTCAGACTTAAAAGTTTAATGAAAAAGGTGCCACGCAGTAAGGAATAAGATCCAGAGTTTCAGCCAATGTAAAATTTACACAGCTCCTGGCTACATTATGGCTGCCTATAGCAATGTTATTAGTTTCACAAGCACTGTAATTCAGTCACTTTAAAGAAATAGCTGTTTAACTTCTTTTTTGCTAAAAGAACCTGCACTTACATTAAAAAAGCTATTGGATTGTTATTGGGTGGGAAAAAGTTTAACTCTATTTCAATATGTAATAGATGCATGCTTAACCAATTATTCCAAAAATTTACATTGAAAAAAGGCTAATGCAGTCACAGTCCTAGGATGCATCAGGTGAGGTATTTCCAACAGAGACAGAAAAGTGTTAGTACCATCATACCAGGCACTGGTGAGACCTCATCTAGAACACTCTGTGCAATTCTGGTCTCCTATGTTTAAGAAAGATGAATTCAAACTGGAACAGGTGCAGAGAAGAGCTACTAGGATGTTCAGAGGAATGAAAATCTACCTTATGAAAGGAGACTCAAAGAACTTGACTTGTTTAGCCTAAGCAAAAGGTGGCCAAGGGGAGATATGATTGCGCTCTATAAATACATCACAGGGATAAATACCAGGGAGGGAGATGAGTTATTTAAGGTAAGTGCCAATGTGGACACAAGAACAAATAGATACAAACTGGCCATCAACAAATTTAGACTCAACATTAGGCAAAGATTTCTAACCACCAGAGCAGTGAAGTTCTAGAACAGCCTTCCAAGGGAAGCAGGAGGTGTGTGTGTGTGCACGCATGAGGGAGGAGGAGAAGAGAAGAGAGAACCGAACTGGCTTCAAGACTCAGCTTGTTAAGTTTGAGGAGATGGTATGATGGGACTGCCTATGATGGCATGTGGTCCATCAGTGACTGCCAGTAGCAAAAATCCCCAACGGCTGGAGATAGGACACTAAACGGGGAAGGCTCTGCATTATTACAGAGAATTCTTCCCCAAGCATTTGCCTGGTGGGTCTTGCCCACTTGCTCAGAATCTAATTGATCACCTACTTAGGGTCAGAAAGGAATTTTCCCCCAGGTCTGACTGGCAGAGACCTGGGAGTTTTATGGCTTCCTCTGAAGCCTGGGTCACAAGAAGGTTTAAAACCAGTGATGGAGAATTCGCTGTAACTTGATGTCTTTAAATCATGATTTGAGGACGTCAGTAACTCAGCAAGAGGTTAGGGGTCTATTTCAAGAGTAGGTGGGCAATGTGTAGGAGGTCAGACTAGATGATCACAGTGGACCCTTCTGATCTTAATGTCTACGAGACCTGTTCAACTACGTTTTGTTAAACATACACCGTAACTACTAAGTCACCCAAAATCATACAGAGGATACCCAAATAAGCTTCAGAACACAGAATTAATAATTTATATACTATTAAGCATACAAATTATTAATTCTATCCAGCAAAGTTGATGCAAAAGATTTATACTCCCTTACTGATGTGCCTCAGTACCTTCTACCAGCTGGCAGACCCAAACTTAATGTGTTTCTTTTATTTCTGTCATTTACTCCTTTGATTTCAGCTGCTTACCTTCTTCCCTGGCTCATTTCCTCTTAGGAAGACAGTTTGATCCCCTGCCCATGCCTTGCACACTTAGTTAAAATTAAATAATTGGGGTATCTTCAAGCTGATGCGTTAGTTTGGCCATTGACTTTGGGGTGACTAAATTCCAGTAGTTTTTAAGCAAGACCAGTCTAGTCCATCATGGTAATATTTTGCCTTCTCGATGATGAGAGCTATAATGTACACAAATATTACATACCTCTTCATTGATAATTGTAGCGTTGCTCAGCGAGCGCAATGCTGAGGTTATTTTTCTTCCAAGGTCTGCTAACACCATTTTGGCGGCTTCAGAGAAATCTCACACAACAATCTGTAAAGCATTAAGAAAAGGTAAACAAGCTTTAATTTTAGGAAATATTCTGTTACAAGAAAAAGTAAGTAGGTCTTTGATTTTTAGGTGAGGTACATTACCATGATGTCATCTTGATGTTTATATAGTGGGAAAAGAAAGTCTGTCTCATAATCAGCTTTGTTCTAAGACTATTTAGATAGTTTTGCTGCTCTGTATCAGTCTAAATTTCTCATTTCCTGAGGACGCTTTCATGAAAAACAGGTTATTTTGGAGTTTGTTATTGCTGCTCATTTCTCATCTCAAGTCCTAGAATTCTCTTTAGAGCATTTCCAAGCAACTAGCTGTGATGTCACAACCAGATTTGAGTTATGGCAAGGAAGAAGAGGATATGAACAAACTCAAACTTTGAGGTGAAAAATTGTTCCAGAGAAATATACCAAGTAAGAGACCCATGTTCAAATCTAGATCTCCCTCAGTGAGCCAAATGACACTAGGAAAACACCAGAATTAGATCATAAATCTTGCCTTACAATATATATCTGACAACCTGTCAAGAAGAAATCTCTAGGAAGGAAAAATAGTATGACAAAAGCCATGTGAAAGTTGAATGATGTATATAAGATAGGAAAGCACAGTTTTGATGAGTAAACCCTCATCTTTCAATACACCTTCTGATTTTGATTCTGCCAGGTAGAGGTACAACTCAAAATTTGACTAGACTATTTTCCTTGTCCAACTTCTGTGAAATCCACATCTTAAATAGAAAAGATCTACTTTTTAAAGTTACATTTTAATAGCTTACTGTTATTAGCAATCAAAGCCCCAATCCTGCAGACATTTACACAAGTGCTTTATTTTATATGTCAGGTTTGATGGGGCTACTCATGACCACATTTATATTTATAGAATTTAAAATAAGCTTTCAGAATTCTGCACATCTGCAAGTGCAGATGTTACACATTGTTTCCTGACAAAGTGTTATTTTTGCCACAGAAATTCGAAACAAAAACTAAAGAAATCAAGTGGCTCAGCTTGTAACAGCATTACAGTGAGCCCACAGCTAAGTAACTGGGGATGGGGAGGCCAAAAGACTCTACATTTCAACTTCAGCATTTTTAGTTCCAACTGCCATTCTCTCACGAGTTACCAGCCATTAACATAGACAGCACATTTCAACAGAAGGGCTGGGAACTGCTGAAGTCTAATGATACTACAGGAATCCGAGGCTCAAAGAAACCATGAATATTTCACAGGTTTCAGAGTAACAGCCGTGTTAGTCTATATTCGCAAAAAGAAAAGGAGTACTTGTGGCACCTTAGAGACTAACCAATTTATTTGAGCATGAGCTTTCGTGAGCTACAGCTCAGGTCCGATGAAGTGAGCTGTAGCTCACGAAAGCTCATGCTCAAATAAATTGGTTAGTCTCTAAGGTGCCACAAGTACTCCTTTTCTTTTTGCGAATATTTCACAGAAATTTGGATACAACTAACAAAGATGAGATGGGGAAAGAAGACTTTAATAAACTTGTTTTATTCCTTCTTCATCATCATAAAGTAGACACCTATTTTTCAGAGGGAAGTATCTCATATGGTAGAGAATCCAAATATTTACTTTTGTAAAATTCTTTGAAAAAGTCTTGGTATTAGTAAAAAAATACTACTCAACTCATTCTTTTATAGTGGAAAACTTCATGGGGATTTTTTTTTAAATGTTTGTAAAAGTTTATACACTTTAAAGTTAGGCACGTACGTGAACACTCAAATCGAGGGACTCAAGTAACACTGTAAGCAAACATTTATTTGCTTACGTTACCAACATGTTGGATTATTAAGAATGGAAAAAAAATGTTAAATACAGATCTCTTTTCACCATGTTTCTTTTTTGCATTTCTCACAGCTTGTACCATGAAAATCAGCGAAGTCTGCTCTACTTTTGTTAATAGTCCCTTTAATGTCACAAACATTGCAGGAGACTGTTTATTTAAACAGCGTTTTCTGTTGTAGCCGTGTTGGTCCAAGTCTACACTTAAAGTGCTACACTGATGCAGCTGCACTGCTGTAGCACTTTAATAAAGACGCCCTATGCTGATGGGAGAGAGCTCTCCAGTGAGCATAGTTAATTCACCTTGAGAGATAACAGCTATGTCTACTACAGACCTTACAGTGGCACAGCTTATACTGCTGCAGCTGCGCCATTGTAAGGTCTCCTGTGTAGCCACTCTATGCCAAAAGAAGAGAGCTCTCCCATCAGCCTAATTAAACCACCCCCAAGAAGCGGGGGTAGCTATATCGGAGGGAGAACATCTCCTGCAGACACAGCGGTCCACACTGGTGCTTCTGTCGGTGAAACTTATGTCATTCAGGGGGGGCTTTTTTTCCACATCTCTGACCAACAAAAGTGCTAGTGTAGACATAGCCTATGTCTATGGGAGAAACTCACCGATATAGTGCTGTCTACACGGCTAGGTCAGTACAACTACGTTGCTCAGGATTATGGATTTTTTACACTTCTGTGCAACGTAATTATACCGATATAGGTCAGTAGCACAGACAGATCTGAGAGACAAGATGGGTGAGGTAATATCGTCTAATGGGTCAACTTCTGTTGGTGAAAGAGACAAGCTTTAAAGCTACACAGAGCTCTTCTTCAGGTCTAAGAAAGATAGTATCACAGCTAAAAACAAGGTGGAACAGACTATTCGGCATAAGTAGTTAACACGTATTCTCAGGGAACATTTACAGTGAAGTAGCCTGTTAATGCCTTTGCAGTCACAGGCAAAAAAAGGGGGGTGAATGAACTCCTGCAGGAAAATAATAAAAGACAAAATCACGCATGGGCGAACACTTTTCACAAAACCATCACTCCATATCTGACCTCTCAGTCCTCATCTTCAAAGGAAATCTGCACATAACACCTTTAAAAAATAAACCTGGGCGCTTAAATTCATAACTTTGTTAGTTATGAATTCATGGTCTTAATAAGGACAATGGATTTATGGCTTATTACAACAATCTGTACCCACTAACCCTCCCCTTTATTTTCCTATGACTACAAGAGTGTTAACAGGCTACTTGACCTCACATGGTCTCTTAGATTATGAGTGAAAGACTGCTGAAAAATCCACGCTCCTGAGCAGCGTGGTTAAGATGACCTAAATCCCAGTGTAGACAACACTAGGTCAAGTGAAGAATTCTTTCATTGACCTAGCTACTGCCTCTTGGGGAGGTGGATTACCTACGCTGATGGGAGAATCTCTCCCGTTGGGGTAGGTAATGTCTACACTTAAAGCTGCTGTAGCGCTTCAGTGTAGACAAACCCCAGGTACTTTTCTCAGACCTGAAGATGTCTGAGTAGCTTGGAGGCTTGTCTCTTTCACCAACAAAAGTTGTTCCATTAAAAGATATTACCTCACCCACTTTGTTTCTCTGGGTTTTTTGTTTTTTTCTAGCTGTAATTTTAAAAATCATGAATACATTTTTTGTTTTGCATTCTGTAAAAAAACCTTTCACAAAATTTAATTTGTAGTTCTCTCTGAAAACATATCACATTAAATTTAAATTGTTATAATCTCCAACAGTAGAACTCTCCTCCGTAGCACCCTCAAAGTCTAAATGAGCAGATGATCTTCCAGTCACATTGCAAGGCATAACAAATGCAGGCTCTTTCAAAACAGTGTAGTTTCAAATCCAGCAGTATAAACCTTCAGGTGAGAACCACGCTGCACGCTTGAAAGCCCCAAATAATTTCTACTCTTGGGTTAGCGAGCATAGGGAACAGGGTTGTTACGATTGATTGTTGTACTGAGATTAAGAAAGCACTCATAGAAACGTTGATATGTAAACATCGAAATATCCTATTTACTAGTGCCCATGGCTGATTAAATTTATCCCAAGGATTAAAATATTGTTTTCTAGTCTATGGAATACAATCTATTTAAGGTGATATTTATGGAGTCTTCTCTGCTGCTTTGTTTTCTGTAGAAATACATAACGCAATTCGAAGTTGTATGGTTAATGAGAAATATTTGGTACTGCTGAAAGAACATGTGTCAATACTTTAAAATACAGAATGGCAAACATAAGTAGTCATGCAGGGTTTTATGAACAAATCAGTGGCCAACTAGAAATTATTTCGCATAATACAACAAAGCCACATTTAGTCTGGAACACCAGCGACACAAAAAAAGAAAGTTTATACCCAACCTTCCTACCTGCCGTTACAAACAGGTGACGGTCCGGATTTTTGCTAGAAGCGGAGACCAGACACCCACCCGCCCCACTCTGTGTGGATCTTTAGAGCAGAAACCGGACCGCTTAAGAACGAGAGCGCGGCCCGAGAGCTACGGGGATGGGCCGGAACCAGGGACAGGCTGGTGGCCGGAACGATGTGTGTCTTCCTTCGAATCTGCGCAGGCTGCCAGGCAGGCGACACCCCGCCTCAGTCTCGGCTTGAGACTTTCCCCGGCTGGAGAGTGCGGGACAGGGGCAGACCCGGCCGGTGACCGCGGGCCAGACGGGAGCTCACCGGCAGGGCCCTGCCGCCGGGAGCGCGGTGAGAGGCCGACAGCCGGGCTGCGCCGGGGAGAGGTACCGCAGAGGGAACCTGCGCTCGGGGATGAGAACGGGCCCGTGTCCAGGACTCCCAGCCCGGCCGCCCACGGGACTCACCAGAGCGCACACGCGCAGAGCGGTCCCGCGGGAGGCGGCGGGCCCAGAGAGGCCGCGGTGCAGACCGGGCCCGCGGGGGCCACGCTCCTCTCTCGCACCCCGTCTGCCCCTCGCTGCTCGGGCTCACAACACAGCGAGCGCCAGCGCCGCCACTCAGCCTGGAAAACGTCACCTTACTCCTCAATCCCCGACCTCCCGGGGCAACCACTTCCGTTTCCCGGTCAAGCCAGCTGAGCCTGTCCGCTTTAAGGTGGAACTGAAAAGTTCCGCTCTAGGGGTTCTGCTCCTAGCAACAGGCTAATGGGCCGAAACATTTTCTTTTTTATTAAGCTTTTAAAAATCTGTAAAGAAAAACTAACATAACAAACGATGCTTAAACGCTTCATAATATATTAACTCTTTGCTAGCTCACCCTAGCTATACCTGAAACATTTAATGCTATATATGACGGGTTACAAAGCAAATCAGTTATTTGGTATTACAGAAGTTTAGGAAGAAACAACTTTTGTTTTTAGAAATCCAGCTAGTTCGAAAAAAGATAAAGAGTAGAGGCAAAAATCGGAGGAGAGGGATAGAGATGGGGAAGGAAGGAAGTGGGTAGAGAGGAGGGGTTGGCTGGGGAATGTATTTGATAGGTTTCAGAGGAACAGCCGTGTTAGTCTGTATTCGCAAAAAGAAAAGGAGTACTTGTGGCACCTTAGAGACTAACCAATTTATTTGAGCATGAGCTTTCGTGAGCCACAGCTCACTTCATCAGATGTGTACCGTGGAAACTGCAGCAGACTTTATATACACACAGAGAATATGAAACAATACCTCCTCCCACCCCACTGTCCTGCTGGTAATAGCTTATCTAAAGTGATCAGCAGGTGGGCCATTTCCAGCACAAATCCAGGTTTTCTCACCCTCCACCCCCCCACACAAATTCACTCTCCTGCTGGTGCTAGCCCATCCAAAGTGACAACTCTTTACATAATCAAGTCGGGCTATTTCCTGCATAGATCCAGGTTTTCTCACTTCCCCCCCACCCCCATACACACACAAACTCACTCTCCTGCTGGTCTAAACTGACCACTCTCCAAGTTTAAATCCAAGTAAAACCAGAATATCTGGGGGGTTGGGGGGGGTAGGAAAAAACAAGAGGAAACAGGCTACCTTGCATAATGACTTAGCCACTCCCAGTCTCTATTTAAGCCTAAATTAATAGTATCCAATTTGCAAATGAATTCCAATTCAGCAGTTTCTCGCTGGAGTCTGGATTTGAAGTTTTTTTGTTTTAAGATAGCGACCTTCATGTCTGTGATTGCGTGACCAGAGAGATTGAAGTGTTCTCCGACTGGTTTATGAATGTTATAATTCTTGACATCTGATTTGTGTCCATTTATTCTTTTACATAGAGACTGTCCAGTTTGACCAATGTACATGGCAGAGGGGCATTGCTGGCACATGATGGCATATATCACATTGGTGGATGTGCAGGTGAACGAGCCTCTGATAGTGTGGCTGATGTTATTAGGCCCTGTGATGGTGTCCCCTGAATAGATATGTGGGCACAATTGGCAACGGGCTTTGTTGCAAGGATAAGTTCCTGGGTTAGTGGTTCTGTTGTGTGGTATGTGGTTGTTGGTGAGTATTTGCTTCAGGTTGCGGGGCTGTCTGTAGGCAAGGACTGGCCTGTCTCCCAAGACTTGTGAGAGTGTTGGGTCATCCTTTATCATCCTTTGATAGGACCATTCAGATACTTCCAGAAAAGTTTCCCGTATTCTAAGGATTTTTCTTTGTATATTTTTGTGATGATATTCCATTCTTTCCAGGGCGGTCAAGCCTACAGTGTCTATGCTCCAGTCTTCAATTGTTGGGCTCTATTTGGATTTCTATTTTTGTAGTAAAAATAAGGAGGACTCCTTATTTTTGCTGATACAGAGTAACATGACTACCACTCTGAATTGTTGTAGTACTAATCTGTTCGCAATTATTATTGCTCTGTTGAGCAAAAGTTTTCCAAATTTGTTCGGCTTCCAGTTAACATCCATTAGGTTTAAAATTACATGTTTAGCTTGTAACACACAATTTTATTTGTTAGGGAGAAATTTACTCTGCAATGAAGCTCTGCCCAAAACATACAGATATAGGGGTTTTAGGGTATCCAGAGCATATGGGTTAAATTAGCACAAGCTGAATCATACATTTGTCTGATTTAGCAGCATGTGTTTTGAACAGTCAGAGAACGGTCCAGTGCATTCTCCATATAATTTTCTGATGGATGAATCTTAAACAAAAATCCAAGTAACAGTTCAGAGCACAGGTTAAAATGTGTTTCCATTGGTTAGCAGAAAATAATTGGCCGAGGTCTTCCTCCTAATTCTTTTTTAGGGAATCTGTGTTTAATTCAAATTTGCTGGCCAAGACTGTATATAGTGTTGCCATAGGTTTTTTGCAATCTGTAATATTTGGAGAAATGAAAGGAGTTCAGGTGGGTCAGGGTAGCACAGGCATTGAGGCTAAATAGGTGGGATATGGCATGTTTACATTGGATATATTTCCACTCCTTCTTAGTCTCTAGATTGAACCTTTCATTTAATTTTCGAAAAAGGAGGAAGATATTATTTTCAACAAATTGACTGATGGTCAAAATCCCTTTCCTAATGCAGCCTGGACAAATGATGGGGTTGCCTACTGTACAGAGTTTCAAGTTACCACAGATAGAGGCCTTGGTATGTAGAAATGAGTGATTTTTAAATTTAATAGACATAGTACACCAAGTATTTCTGGCTGCCACAATAGTTGGTAATTGTTCTTTAGGGAATCAGTAGTAATCAGAGTGCAGTGCAATGGAAACAGGAAAAGAAGCAACCAATTCTGCCTCTAGCTGGAGCCAATCTGGGGCTCTGCAGCATGAGAGAATGAGCCACTGTGTTGCTTGGTTAAGAATTATTGCCTGATGCTAAAGTTTAAAGTTGGGAAATCTAAACCCACCTGTTTTGATAGGGAGCTTTAAGGAGATTGTTGCTAGCACCCCACAAGAAGGATCTGAACATATTGTCAATTTTGGTAAAATAAAAGGGAGGACTATCAACAGGAAGGGAATTCAGAATAAAAATTATCCTAGGAAGAACATCCATCGTGATGCTGGCAGACCAGGTACTAGCTCAAGGCAGAGTCCCCATGTCTGACCTGAATACTGACAAATACAGCTGGAATCACTCTGGCTCATCTGTGTGTTAGTATTGTTAAAATAGGTATTAGGATTATAAAAATGTGTTTGGACTTTATTGAATATTTGAGTTACTGCATGCATTAATCTCTCTTACAACATCTATATCCCATATTGTAAGGTAATATTTAAGCATTTGTATATCTCTGTAACTGTGTAAATCAAACAGGAGAGAGAATTAATGAGTGTGAAGTGCTGATCTCCAACAGAAGGTGTTATGTCCTTCCCAAGAGGAAAAGGCCAATAACGCCACATTGGCTATTGTGGGACATTAAAAAAGACAAAAGAGTTTGTTCTGCTATTCCACCTGCCTCCTGAAGTTGAGTCATGTAAGTGAATTCCTCCTGTCAGCTGCGTTTGTGGCTCAGAGCAATGGGGGGGAGGGAGATAAAAACCCCTAACAAGAAGGAACTAGACCTTTGTGCTGCTTGGAGACTCAGCAGCAAGGTCTCTAGGTATAAGTAAGGGATCCCCAGCTGCTTACCCTGGGTTAGTCATAAAGGACATATAGAGCTTATTTATTATAGATGCTTCTATTAGCTTTTGAAACTTGATTGCAACTCATTTGTGTATGTGTTTACACCTGCTTTAACCTCTTAAATAACTCATTTTTTTTTTTATTAATTAATCCGTTGATATATATTATAGGATTAGCTACAAGCAGTGTCTTTGGTGTGAGATCTAAGGTGCTCTTCCAACTAGAGCCAATGAGCTCTTCATTGCTTCTGACTTATCCCAATTTATCTTCAAGCCAAAGAATATATCAAAGTTATCTATTGTTTGTAGGATATTAGGAATGGATTGAGCTGGATTTTTAATAAACAGGAGGAAAGGACATTGTCTACATATAGAAGGATTTTTGTCTCCTGAGTCTCTGATTTGAGCCGTTCAATACCTTAGTGTTTTTAAGTGGTTCTAATGCCAGATTGAACAGGAGGGGAAGAGGGGGCATCTCTGTCTACTTCCCTAAAACAGATCCAGGGAGGAGGATGTTGTGTTATTTGTTAGGATACAAGAGTTTGGATTAGAATAGAACTGTTTATCCATGAAATAAAGGATTTTCCCAACCCAAATTTATCCCAGGTAAGAAACAGGTTTTGCCAGTTCACTCTGTCAAAAGCTTTCTCTGCATCAAATGAAATGATTGCACGGGAATTTCTAGAGTGGTGGTAGAATACAATAACATTAATTTTTTAATAAATCCTAGCTGACTGGGGTTAAGCATATCACTCTCTTTTTTCAAGCTTTTTAGCTAATTTTTTTAAAAGCATTTTTATTAGTATTAATGAAAGATGTGTCTACAGCTGTTAAGCTTTTGTGCATTCTCACTTAGTATAATTAGTATGGTAATAAGGGCTTCCCTCATAATAGAAGGTAACATACTTTTTTTTTTTTTTTAAGGCATCTTTGCAAATGTATAACTGCTTAGGGGCCAGAATTTCTTTGGAAGTTTGATAGAATTCTACCGATAGGTCATCAGCACCAGGGTCAGGTCTTGCCCTCACTTGTTTCCTTCAGGGCCTTGATTATTTCCTCTGATTACAAAGGAAAAGCCAGCTTGGCCTGCTGCTTTTCTGAGATTTGTGGGAGGTTAAGAGTTTGAATATAATTATTCAGGTCTTCTGGATCAGGTTGTGAATTGTTATTGTAAAGAGCCTGGTAGAATTTTAAAAAATTGATCATTGATCTCATTTGATTACCTGCCCTTGTTCTGATTTGAGTAATACTGTTCAGAATGTTTAACCTCTCTCAATATATAAGCAAGAATTCCCTGCTCTCTTCCCCACTTCCAGTGTGTTTGAGTCTAAAAAGAATAAATTTGGCTTGTGTTGAAGTCAGTCTATTTGCTTCATAGTGAAGATACTTAATTTGTTAAAACTTTCTTGGGGGGGCATAGTTTGCACCTTCTAATTTTGTAGCTTGGAGTTGCTCAGTTAATTCCAGGGGCAGAGTCTGCCTAGCCTTCTCCCTACCCACTGAGTAGGGAACAATCCTGCTCCTAAAAAAAGCATTCAGAGTATTCCATTGGGTGGACTACGATATTTCACGTGTCATTTGTTTAGAAGAAAAACAGAATTTCTGCTGAGACAAACCTTTACAAGAGCATTCAATCTCCATCTTTCCAATTCAAATTTTGCCTTGGGAGGGGAAAATTGGAGTATTACTGGTGTATGAGCAGACATCATCATAGAGTTGATTTCATTATTAAGCATGGTGTCCACCAGGTTCATAGACATCAGGCAGAAATCTATTTGTGAATATGTGGGAAGGGGGAGAAGTAAACTCCTTTATGGTAGGGTTCTGCAATGGCCATATATCTTTTAACCCCAATTCTTCTATATAATCTTTTATAGTGTTTCTAGCATGTGATTAAGTACGCTGGTGCCAGCCTGACTTGTCTGAAGAAGGGTTTAACACTGCATTAAAATCACCTGCTATGATGATTGATACTAGGGAGATATTAATTAATTTGGAAAAAAACTTGAATCTTTGTTTGCATATCAGAGGTGAAAGTAAGCTGGTATGCCGTGCCAGACTGGACCGGCTTCCTTGGCGTTGATTTAAAGGGCCGCTGCAGGTAGCCCCGGCCCTTTAAATCAGCGCTGGAGCCTGGCTGCCGGGGATTTAAAGTGCCTGGTTCTCCTGCCACTGCAGGGCGCCCCAGGCTCTTTAAAGCACCGCTGAAGCCCAGCCACTCCAGGGTAGTGGCAGCAGGGCTCCCGCAGTGATTGAAAGGACCTGGAGCTCTGCAGCGGCCAGAGCCCCTGGCCCTCTAATTCGCGGAAGCTCTGAGCCACCTCTGCAGCTGGTAGCTGTGGGGTGATTTAAAGGCCCTGGGGCTCCCAGCCAGAGGCCCAGGGCCTTTCCCTGCCTCTTCTGATTGAGGAGGCCCTGCTCAGGACTCCAGCAGACCAGTAAGTCTGTTAAGTTACTTTCACCCCTGCTGCATATATATTAATTACAGTATATACAGAGTTAAAGATCTTAGCCTTTACCAGCAAAAATCCACCTTCCTCATCAACATCTAGAATTTGTAAATTGAGTCTTTTGTGAAATGGTGTTGCTATTCTAGTGGTTCTCAAATTTTTGTACTGGTGATCCTTTTCACAAAGCAAGCCTCTAAGTGCGACTCCCCCGCCCCTTATAACACTTAATATTTAATACCATTAATAAATGGTGGATGCAAAGGGAGGTTTGGGGGTAAAGGCTGACAGCTTGTAATAACCTTGTGGAGTCCTGCCCCCCCAGTGTGAGAACCCCTGTGCTATACCCTTGGCTGCCCCCAAGGAAATTGTTAAACACCCCTTCCCCCATGTACTCCCTCCCAGATCTCCCTGCCCCCAAGTCATTAAGATGGGTTTCCTGTAGAAGGATGATCTCTGCTTTCACAGGAGTGAGCCGCCTTTTCTTTATGGCGATTCACCTCCAAAGGGCCCGTTTGAAACTCCAGAGCAGCGTAATACACAGCCTACCAGCAGGAGGAACAGCCCACCTTAAGAGGCAGGACTCTATGCTCCCTCCCACCCCGGGAATAGAGAGGGAGGCGTGGGGATTTTTGTGCACCTGCGCACTGAGAGGGCAGAGCGGCCATATGAGTCCTCCCTGAAAAGGGCGAGGATTGTACGCGTGCGGGCTGGACACGCAAGCTAGTATCTGCGCATGCGGAGGGAGAGGCGTTTTCAAGGGCTAGGACGCGGTGGGGAAAACGCCTCCTTTCCGACAGGAGAGAGAGCTAAGAAAAAGGGAGGAGCCTTCTTCCACACATGCGCAGTGAGAGGCGGCTTCATTACTGTTTCCATCCTGAGACGGGAGAAGGGCCGCCCTCTCCCTACACATGTGCATTATGAAGCACGTGTAGTGCTGGGAGGCGGGGCTCTCGGTCTTCCTTGCACAGGCGCAGGATATTCGAGCCCGGCGCGTCGCGCACGGCTCTAGCGTAGGGCGGCCGGGGTCAGGCGGGCGATGGATTTCGTCGGGGCGCGGAGCGCGGTGCTGGCTGTGCTGAGGGGCGCGCGCGCAGGCGACCGGTCCCGCCTGCTGCACTGGATGCGAACGACCAGTAAGCGATGCATTCGCCGGCCGCGGCACCTGTCCGTCCTCGGCGAGCCTCAGGCACCGCGTGGGGGCAGGGCTTTCCCTGGGAGTTGGAGGCGCTGCGCGTGCCGCGCCCGTTGGGCTCGGGGATTTGTCAACGGGCGGCTCCTCCCTTGCGCGCGCGGCTCCTCCCCTGGGTCGGCTCAGCGCGGCGGTCGGAAGGTGTCGCCCCTGACTAGCGTGTGCCCCTCACTTTTAAGTATCGACTGAAGTAGGGCTCGCTTAGATAGCGGAAACTCCGGTGTTGGCCGCCTGCAGCGTTCGACTGCCGCACCCGGGGCCCCCAAAATCGTAAGATTGGCTTAAAAATTGAGACTTAAAAAAGAAGTAGGGATCTTCGTTGTGGTGGGGTTTCTGAGCCTTTAGGGTGCACTAGGGTCATGTGTTCAAGCTTTTCTCTGAAGTTCCGAGGGCTAAAAGCTTCCTTTGTAAAGCCAGTGTTGCTTGGTTGGCTAGGGTTATCCATGTGGTGGACTTAATGACTTTTCAAAGTCCTTTCCAGCTCAACATTTATACTAGTCTGTGAAAGCTGAAATCACCCCCAATCTCTTGCTTCCAGCAGCTGGGGCTCTAAGAAAATACCCTATCACAAGAATTAGTAACATTGAATTTGCACTGGTGTCATTTACAAATTTTAGGTTTTGTCTAAGGGCAGGAGATGCACCTGTTCAACTTAAATGGGGTTAAAATCCATTTTAGTGAAAAGGCTGTGTAAATGCTTTTATTGCAATTTAAACTGTAAACATACAAGCAATGATAAACAATAGTGAAACTGATTTAAATTGCTTTGTGTAAAGAGAAATACAAAATATAATCTAATGAGAAAAGTGTAAGAATTTTCAAAATCCAATTTACTTAGGAAACTATATCCCTTTTGATTATTAAGAAAAACATTTATAAGTACAGCAGGGTCCTGTTCAATGATTGAGGTTCCTAGGTATTATGCGAATACGAGTAACTGTTTTTGAAGTTGATAGTATTTTTCTAAGACACTACACAGAGAAATACCTTGATAAGTAAGGAGGGACAACATGCAGTTTGAGGATTATGTCCTCTCCCATTCATTCATGGGCTCATATTTACACTGCCATTACATGAGTCCCACCTTTTCCATTGTCTGGATTTGGCAGATTTGATACTATAAGAAGAGACTGTTGAGTGATGGCTCTTTTCTATGTCTGTCTGACTCTCATTACCATAGTATCAGAGTGCCTCAGTTTTCAATGTATTTATCCCCACAAGATCCATGTGAAATAAAGTACTTTTATCCACATTTCACTTTTTTTTTGGAGGGGGGGAGAAGAGGAGGAGGAAACTGAGGCATGGAGATTAAGTGATTTGCCCAGTGTTACACAGGAAGGCTGGTACAGAGTAGGATCTTGGGACTCAGTATATAGCACCCTTATTATTGGGCCAGCTAGTTTTGAGCTGTGTATATGCCATTTCTAAAAAGACTTTGAAAAGTTAGTCTTTTTTATGTTTAGTTTCTTATGAATTGTTCACAATCTTTGAGACAGTTGAAAATGTAGAGTGTGAATTTAGGTAATGCACTGAAGCCATAGCCTCATGGATAGTACTGTGCTGAATAAAGTACAGTCCCAGCCCCTTGTCTGCTTCTCCTCTCCCACCCACTAGAGCCATAACCCTGCTCCTGGCACTAGCTCAGTGGGGGAGGTTGGGGGGGCAGGAGGGTGTGGACAGGTGTAATGGTGGGGATGCAGCCCTCAAAAGTTTGGGGACCACTTCATTAGGCAGATTATATTTTGCTCACACATTACAGATTAGGAGGAGACCAAACAGATCAAATTTTAATGTAGTCTTTAAGCATAAGGTTTAATGTTTATTCCAAAAATCATTAGCTTACATGGGAGCCAGGTTTGTATAATTTTTGGTGGTGCCCAGAACGGGTCCAAGCAGAGCCATCCTGTCCATAGGACAGACTGTGGCAACTGCCTCAGGCCCTGTGCTTTGGGGGGGCCCCCACGCTTCAGGGCGACACAGGGTCCAGGTTGACCTGGAAGGTTAGTGCGGGGCCTGGTGCTGGCAGCAGTGAGCAACCCAGCCTGCCCTGCTCCACCGCGCCCCACCAGCTCCTGGTGGAAGCCAGAAAGAGGCGGTGTGGGGGGCTTGGGGAAATGGGCAGAGCAGGAGTGAGGCAGGGCAGGGCAGGCTGGGGTCACATTGCTTGCTGCTGCCAGCACCAGGTCCCCTGCTAACCCTCCAGACTGCCCTAGATCCCACATCCCCCTGAAGCGTGGGGCACCCCAAAGCGCAGGGCCTAGGGCAGTTGCCCCTGTCCATCCTATGGACGGGACAGCTCAGATTAAATATAAACCCAAACATTCGTGGAGCTGGGCCCACATTCCTGCATATTGGTGGAGCATAGGCACTGTGGGCCCATATAACTCACCACCTATGTTAAATTATTTTGGGTTCTTATCCATATATGTCCAATCCTGTTTTGCATCTTAAATTTTTGGCCTCAACGCACTGAAGTAGGTTTCACATTTAATGATGCATTGTGTGATTAAAAACTAAACACTGGCTCTTACTCTTTGTTTTCCTGTCACTTATCTGGTTTCTGATTCATGATAATATTTTGCTTCTCGCCTCATGACTACTTAGTTTCTTTAGTATTTTTTTGTGAAGGACCTATGAAAAATTTTTGAAGTCTAAATGAACAGTCATCCCATTCTTTTGTCTATAATGCTGATACCTTCATAAAATTCTAATAGGTTAGTGAGACATGATTTTCCCTTGCACAAACAATGCTGATTAAATGCTATCGTGGTCTCCCAGAGGTTTATTGTAATTTTACCTATTGTTTCAATCAATTTACCAGGTATATATGCAAAGTTTACTGGTCTGGTTCCTTGGATCACCTCTAGAGCCTTTTTAAAATGTACACGTGTTTAGTACTGTTAATGAGACAGCATATTTTTGCTAACAATTTCTGCACTTAAAATAATGAATCTGTCAAGTAGTTCAGGCCCCAGATTTGAACTACTTTATAATTGTTACAGTCTGGTAGGCTGTGCTCATAATTTAATGTACTCTATTGCGGTTTTTAAAAAGCTCCAGTAATTGGAGAAAGTCCAGAGGAGATCAACAAAAGTGATTAGTCTAGAAAACATGATCTACAAGGAAAGATCTAAGAAATTTGGTTTGTTTAGTCTGGAGAAGACAACAAGGGGGTCACGGTAACAGTCTACACGTACATAAAAGATTGTAAAAAGGGAGGGGATAAATTGTTGTTCTTAACCACTGAGAATAGGACAAGTATTAATAGGCTTAAATTGCAACAAGGGAGATTTAGACAGTAGGAAAAACTTCCTAACTAAGGGTAGTTAAGTACTGGAACAAATTACCTAAGGAGGTTGTGGACTCTCCATGACTGGCAGATATGAACACATTAGACAAGCACCTGTCAGGGATGGTCTAAACAATTCTTTAGTCCTGCCTCAGTGCAGGGGACTGGACTAGATGACCTATCAGAGTCCTTGCCAGTTGTATAGGTCTATGATTTGTGGACCAAGCCAAAACTAACATGGCAACAGTTTTGTAATTGCAATACAATATTTGAGTTTACATGTAGAAGATCAAATGCCAGGATAGACTGGATGCACTGGTAATACAAGATTGAATAACTAAAGTAACCGGTTGGAGAACAATATAATTGGGTGTTCTCATTAGGTCTGTGCAGGAATCCTCCCTATTCTAAGATTCTCACTGTTATTACAAGTTGAAATAGTTTTGCCTTTCAGAAATGGCAGCCTCATGCCATGAGAACATAGCCCTTACATTTGCTAACTTCCTAACTATATGTATTCTTCTTTGGGAATACCTTCTTTGTGAATAGTATCAAGACTGCTGCATAGTATCTAATTATGTAGGAGTTAAAAATACACTTTTGGCTACTGTACTTCGCAGTTTTGAAAGATTGCAAGTGAATATTGCATCAGCGCTAGGCAATAAAGAGAAAGGAAACCATCTGTGTTCTTAGCTCTATAATGAGATCAACTGAGACTTCATGGTCTAGAACAGTGGTTCTCAAGCTTCCCCCCCGACCACTTGAAAATTGCTGAGGGTCTCAGCAGACCACTTATTTTTCCAAATGTTGTTTGTAGCTTTAGTTAATTATTGTAAAGCACTTTGGATAAAAGTGCTATATATAAAAATAATGTTTTTTCTACAAATAAAAGCACACAACTTATATTTTAATATCAGTAATCTTACTTTTCTAATGTAATGGATGTGCTCTTTCCCCTGCTGCAGAAGCCCCCCGAGCAGGGGCTGGGAAGGGTGTCTCTCCCCGACAGCCACAGCCCTGGAGCTGGGGAAAGTTACCTCTTTCTCCAGCCACCGCAGCCCTGCACATCCTAAATCCCCCCCCCCCCCCCCCCACTGCCTGTAGTGCGGCATGTACTTACCACTGCCACACCTCTTCTGGTTACCTCAGGAATTGGCTGTTCCAGCTCCAGAGTGCCTTCTGCTGGCTGGTGTTTCTCCTGTTGTCACTATGTGTCTTACCACTGGCGTCAGAGTAGGCCCCGCATCCCCCTTGGCCCACAGCACCTCTTCTCTGGGGTACTGCCCCACAGTAGTGCCCCCAGGAAATCCCAGTCCCCTCATCCCATCCCACCTCACCTCAGTGACCCACTACCAGTCTTCATCTAGCCCCATCCCTCAAGGGCAAACCACAGTCTGAAGTGGCCACTCATCGGCAAGGGGTTGGACCAGCTGCCTCTTCCTTCCCTGGCTGCTTCCCCACAGCCCCAGTACCTCCTCAGGCCTTGGAAGCAAAGCCTCAGCCAGGGAGTTCACCAGGCTGGAGCACCTCCTGCCCTTTCCCAGCACTGCTCTGTCCAAGGTACCCCCTTCTGCTTGCAGGCAGGCAGCCAGTCTTTCTCTCTCCAAGGCTGGAGAGAAACTGGCAGCCTTCTGCCCCTACAGCCCTTTTATAGG